ATTCCCTACGGAGTTGCTGAATGTTTTCCTTCTCATCACAGTACCATGGCCTAACCAGCTCCAACTTTCTCCTGTTGTCAAACCTGCTAGATTTTGTAGCACAGTAGAGGCAAGGTCAAGTATTTATCAGGGAAGTCTGTATTGCAGTCTAGAGAAAATTGTGGATGCCTGGACTAGTCTGGAATCTGGAAGTTGGCCAGACACATTTCTTCATGTTGAGCCTTGTGTTGCTTTAGTTATGGAGATGTAGAGACAACTTTCACAACCCAAGGTCCTGGAACTGAAATTTAACACATCATTAATGAGGGCAGAAACTTGAGAGATTCTAGCTGACAAGTGTCTGCTGAGCTTTTGTGAACTGCATTCAATTTTTTAACTTTTTTTCTCTTTGGTGCTTGTCTTACTCTAATATTTGCATTAAAGGAATTTGTTTTGCTTTATCTGTATACTGACTCGTGGATGGTGGCAAATGTCCTGTGGGTGTGGTTGCAACAATGGAAGCAGAGCAACTGTCAACGTAGAGGTAAACCCATCTGGAGATTGTACATCACAAATTACAGCCTCATCATAAGCCCTCTCTGTTACATGACCCAGAAGAAGAATGACTTCAGATGGGGCCCTGGGCAACAACAAACTTTAAACAAATTAAATGAGAGAGAGTTCATGCAGTAGAACTTGGACCAGTCTTGACAGAGCAAGATGTGAAAAATGTGCTTTCCACTTCAGCCAGGGAGAATGGTCCTACTGGAGGCTCTGGCAGAAAGCTCCATATGGAGAGTCGAGGTCAACCCCTTGGCTTTTGGAGTCAGGGATACCGCTATGCTCCCACTGAAAAAGAGATACTGGCAGCCTATAAAGGGGTTTGAACTGGTTCAGAAGTGTTTGACACTGAAGCAAAGCTCCTCCTGGCACCCCAGTTGCCCATGCTGGGCTGGATGTTCAAAGGCAGGGCCTCCTCTACCCATCATGCAACCGATGCCACATGGACTAAGTGGGCTGCACTGATCACATGAGCTTGAACAGGAAATCCCAGTCGTCCAGGAATTCTAGAAGTCATCATGGACTGGCCAGAGGGCAAAGACTTTGGAATGTCACCAGAGGAGGAGTTGATGCGTTCTGAAGAGGCCCCACCATATAATAAACTGTCAGAAAGTGAAAAGCAGTATGCCTTGTTTACTGATGGGTCCTGCTGGACTGTGGGAAAGCATCAGAGATGGAAGACAGCTGTATTGAGCCCCCTACGACAAGTTGCAAAAACTACTGAAGTACACCTCTCGGTGAATTGAGTCAATTTGCCGAGGTGAAAGCCATCCAGCTGGCCTTGGACATTGCTGAACGAGAAAAATGGCCAGTACTTTATCTCTATACTGACTCATGGATGGTGGCAAATACCCTGTGGGGGTGGTTGCAACAATGGAAACAGAGCAACTGGCAACTCAGAGGTAAACCCATCTGGTCTGCTGCACTGTGGCAAGATATCACTGCCCGGGTGCAGAACCTGGTGGTGAAGGTACCCCATGTAGATGCTCATGTACCCAAGAGTTGAGCCACTGAGAAATACCAGAATAACCAACAGGTGGATCAAGCTGCTAAGATTGAAGTGGCTCAGATGGACTTAGAGTGGCAACATAAGGGTGAATTATTTTTAACTATGGGCAGGGACATGTCACACTAAGCCATGTCACCCAAGGCTCTGTGCAACTTGACCTTGAACACTGCCAGGGATGGAGTATTCACAACTTCCTTGGGCAACCCGTTCCAGTGCCTCACCACCCTCACAGTAAAGAACTTCTTCCTTATATTTAATCTAACCTTCCTCTGTTTAAGTTTGAACCCATTACCCCTTGTTCTATCACTACAGTCCCTAATGAGGAGTCCCTCCCCTGCATCCTTGTGGGCCACCCTCAGATACTGGATGACTGCTATGAGGTCTCCCACGCAGCCTCTCTTCTCCAGGCTGAACAGCCCCAACGTTCTCAGCTTGTCTGCCTATGGGAGGTGCTCCAGCCCCCAATCATCCTCTGAAAGCTTCAAGAACTGCTATGTAAAGTTCCAGACTTTGTTGGAAACCAAATTTCTGTTTTCGATTGAGAAAGTACTAATAAAATTGATGAGACTTGAATATAGAAAACAGGCATTCATTTGGTGTACATACATCTTCCTCCCAATAGTAGAGCATCAAGGTAGAAGGAATACACAGCGGTGCTTCTGATTCCTGTGTGCAGGTGTGCTTTGCTTTTTTGTGCTGCTGACTGCCGTTGTCAAATTACTCTTCTAAGTAGGTTAAATAGGGTTTTTTGGGGGCTTTAAGTGTTAGTTATGTAAAGAGCTTGGATAATATTGTTGTGTGACCAAATAACTCTTCCCTAAAGGCAAAAATATTGACATGACAAAACCATATTTAAAGAATGACTGTCTGGCCCTTCCTCCCTTTAAACATCAGTTGATGTCCAAGTGGATGAAATGTAAATTTGTTCCACTGCTTTTTAGAAATTGCATAACTTGCATGTGCATCAGTCTGCCAGCTGCATGCAGGAAGGGGAAGTGGACTTCATGGATGTGTAAGACATTGTATAGGTTTCAGATTTAAAACTGCATGTTATGGTTGTTTAAATTTGTTTCTTTAAATCATGTGGATAATTGTTACCAATGTAGTTTCATAAAACTAGCATTTTACTTTAGAGTTTGTTAACTTTTTTCCTGACGTTTCAATGTGTTTTGTGCCTAGAATTACCACTTTTAGCTCAAGCAAAAGATGGTTTTATGACAACCAAGTGCACTGGTAGTTACTCTTATATTTAAGAAAAGGAAAGATGCATGAATTAACATTTACCCAGTTTTGGTTTTTAATACGTTTAATTTGTCAAAAGGTAAACCATACATGATCTAGTTATGAATTAAATTTTCTAATATTAACATAGATTCATAGAATAGTAAGGGTTGGAAAAGACCTTAAGATCATCTGGTACCAACCCCCCTGCCATGGGCAGGGACATCTCACACTAAACCACCAAGGCTTCGTCCAACCTGGTCTTGAACACTGCCAGGGATGAAGCATTCACAACCTCCCTGGGCAACCCATTCCAGTGCCTCACCACCCTAACAGGAAAGAATTTCCTCCATATATCCAATCTAAACTTCTTCTGTTTAAGTTTTAACCCGTTACCCCTTGTCCTATCACTACAGTCCCTAATGAAGAGTCCCTCTCCGGCATCCCTATAGGCTCCCTTCAGATACTGGAAGGCTGCTATGAGGTCTCCACTCAGCCTTCTCTTCTCCAGGCTGAACAGACCCAATTTTCTCAGCCTGTCTTCATACGGGAGGTGCTCCAGTCCCCTGATCATCCTTGTGGCCCACCTCTGGACTTGTTCCAACAGTTCCATGTCCTTTTTATGTTGAGAATACCAGAACTCCACACAGTACTCCAAGTGGGGTCTCACGAGAGCAGAGTAGAGGGGCAGGATCACCTCCTTGGACCTGCTGGTCACGCTCCTTTTGATGCAGCCCAGAATCCGGTTGGCTTTCTGGGCTGTGAGCGCACACTGCCAGCTCATGTTCATTTTCTCATCGACCAGCACCCCTGAGTCCTTCTCCGCAGGGATGCTCTGAATCTCTTCTTTGCCCAACCTGTAGCTGTGCGTGGGATTGCTCCAACCCAGGTGTAGGACCTTGCACTTACCATGGTTAAACTTCATGAGGTTGGCATCAGCCCACCTCACAAGCGTGTTGAGATGCCTCTGGATGGCATTCCTTCCCTCCAACTTATCAACCGAACCACACAGCTTGGTGTCATCGGCAAACTTGCTCAGGGCGCACTCATCCCACTGTCCATGTCAGCGACGAAGATGTTAAACAAGACCAGTCCCAACACCGATCCCTGAGGGATACCGCTCGTTACTGGTTTCCAGCTGGACATTGGGCCATTGACCACAACTCTTTGTGTGCGGCCATCTAGCCAGTTCTTTATCCATCGAGTGGTCTACCTATCAAACTGATGTTTCTCCAATTTAGATACAAGGATGTCGTGTGGGACAATGTCGAACGCTTTACACAAGTCCAGGTAGATGACTTCAGCTGCTCTACCCCCGTCCATCAGTTCCATAGCCCCATCATAGAAGGCCACCAAATTGATCAGGCAGGATTTCCCCTTAGTGAAGCCATGCTGGCTGTCACCAACCACCTTGTTGTTTTTCATGTGCCTTAGCATGCCTTCCAGGAGAACCTGCTCCAAGATTTTGCCAGGCACAGAGGTGAGACTGACTGGTCTGTAGTTACCTGGGTCATCCATTTTCCCCTTCTTGAAAATGAAGGTTATATTTCCCTTTTTTTCCAGTCATCAGCAACTTCACCTGACTGCCATGATTTTTCAAATATGATTGCCAGTGCCTTAGCAACTTCATTCGCTAGCTCCTTCAGGACCCACGGATCTATTTCATCAACTCCCATGGACTTGTGTATGTTCAGGTTCTTAAGATGGTCTCGAACCAGATCCTCTCCTACAGTGGGCCTAGGGTCTTCATTCTCACAGTCCTTTCGTCTACCTTCCAAGACTTGGGTGGTGCGGTCAGAGCACATTTTCATTCACTGAACCTCTTAATTTTAATAAAACTCACTACCAGATTCTGTAATAGAAAAACTAAACTTAAAAACAGTTTTTGTATTTCTGTAAACTAGGTGTATCTTAGTACAATTAGTAATTTGGCTTTGATTAAAATCAGTATCAGAAACATACCTATCACATACCATAGCTTTGCTGTAGAAATCCTGTAGAGAGAGATTCAGAGGTCTAAAAGTATTAAAGATATGTTCCTGATAATTGTACTGGAGGACAGATAGATGCCTGTATTGTTTTCTGATTTTTGAAGAGAATGATAAAGTTTGTAATTAAATTCTACTCTTTGACTCCTAAGCCTTTGTACTAGTTGTGCATTTATATTATGCATCTGCAAGTGCAATAAAAGTCAACTAATATTTTAATATGACATCTACTTTTTCATCAGCTCCTGGGCTACAGCAAAAAGCCAGTAAACCTACAGATGTTCATTGGCACAGCAGATGATCGGTACTTAAGACCTCATGCATTTTACCAGGTGCACCGAATCACTGGAAAAACAGTTGTAACAGCTAGTCAAGAGATAATAATTGCCAGCACAAAAGTTCTGGAAATACCACTTCTTCCTGAAAATGATATGTCATCCAGGTACGTCACAGCGTAACTTAGCTGTGTAGTTGTATGTGCCTTTTTCTTATTTTCTTTTGTGCAGAGGTGAAAGAAAATCTTGTAGAATAGCATATTTTCTGCAAATATGGTTCATGGCTAAGATAGACACATCTATTTAAATGTGTCAGCGTTCAGGTAGTCAGAAGTAGAGGAGGAGACAGACAGGGAAGCTCGGAAGATTGACAGGGAAATAGATGAGCACTTCCGGAATTATTTTTCCTCATACAAATCCATACATACATATGACTCCACTGTGGGTTACTGGCAGTGAAGATTTTCTTTGATTTTACAAAGACATAAAACTTTTTTCTATGAAAATACAGTCATACAGCTTAGTTCTTTCTTTCTTGACTGAATGTGGTGATTTAACTTCTGGTATCATAGTAGGCCTTCTCCTTGTTCTGATTATTTTATTTTTAGCAGTTGCATTATTCTGACTTTTAAGGTCTTGCCAGGTAGAATGTGCTAAATAATAGTTTAATGGTTAGTTATAGCCACAATTAAATAGCTCCATTCTAACTTGGAGGGTCAGGGAACAGAGCAAAGCACAGTTATTTGTTTATATAGCACATTTATTTCTTCTGAAATCAGCCTAAATTTTCCTAGTTGAAGACTTCATGCTAATTCCATTGAAGGCTATGAACCCACGATGATGTGCAAGAGAATACTCCTCCCAAGTTTATCGTATATGTATCACTTGATTAAAGTATGTGTGTCATATGAATAACCAAGAGCTAGGTGGAATGGTAACTGGGATTTGATGACTACACTTTTGTCATCCTCTAGTCCTTCCTAAGGCAGAGCTAAACATAGGTCTCTTGCTCCTTATGATGTTTATTATGTTAAATAACTTACTATAAAGGTTAAACATTGTACAATAACACAATCTTTTAAAGGTTCAAAAAAGCAGAAGCTAGACATATACAAGGCAAAATGTTTCAACATACAACAAACAAAATGTTGCTGCCATTTTTGACACTAGGAGATCTTTTAGTCTCAGACATTTAAAATAACATTTAAAATAGCATAACATGGGGTAAACCAGAATGCTGTTTATTCTTTAACAAAAGAAAGGTTTACAGAATATATTTGGCAGTAGTTTGATTCATTTTCTTCCATTTCTCTTCTGATCCATCTGTCCTCACCTACCTCCAGTATCGATTGTGCTGGTATTTTGAAACTTCGCAATTCAGATATAGAGCTCCGTAAAGGAGAGACAGATATTGGAAGAAAGAATACCAGAGTGCGGCTTGTGTTTCGTGTTCACATCCCACAACCTAGTGGAAAAGTCTTATCCCTGCAGACTGCTTCCATACCTGTTGAATGCTGTAAGATTGCTTTAACTGTACAGAATTTGTACTCATGTTTTCTGCATGTGTTAGTAGTATTGTCATTCTGACAATATTTATTGCCAGATTTATATATAACAAGTGTGTGTAAAAAGCATTGTGTGTAAAGAGCTAAATTACCAAAAATGAATACAGCTTTATAGAAAGATGGGACTTGCCAAGTGGCAGTCTGAAGGTTTGGAGGAAAACCAATTTTATAGGCTTTAAACCTAATACTGCAGTCATGCAGCTAGCAGCTTCAGTGGTTCCTGAATCTGAGCAGAGGCAGATGATGTATCTCTGTGAAATAAAAACTAATTTCAGGAATAACTAATACCATTTCATTTAAAAGAGTCTATACCATTACTTGTCTTCATACAGTATTATCTAATGCACAGCTTAACTTCTAGAGAGTTCATTTGTTAAATGCTGGCACTGAAGAATCAAAACATGACCTTAAACAAGCTGAATTTCTCCCAGAATTAATTTTCTCTAGAAAATAGTAAAATAATTTTTAAACTAATATTCTTAAAATAAGTATAAAATTTGCTGTAACAGTAGAGACTGTTGGGATTCATGGCTTCTTAGTGTTTATTTTCTATATTTATAAAATTTCAACATAATTTTAAAACAAAAAATAATACAAAAAATATTATTTTTATATGTAAATAGATGGTCAGTTTGGTTTCATACCAATTCTTCAAGATAGGATCATAAAAGACATGTCACTATGATTAAAGTTGAGAATAATACTTTTTCCCTTAATTGTGGTGTTTTTTTAAAGCTCAGCGATCTGCTCAAGAACTCCCTCAGATTGAGAAGTACAGCATCAACAGTTGCTCAGTAAACGGAGGCCACAAAATGGTGGTGACAGGATCCAATTTTCTTCCAGAATCCAAAATTATATTTTGTGAAAAAGGGCAAGGTAAGTGCTATCTTAGTTTTTGCTTCAAAAAAAAGCCAAAACTACAAGCCGGAGCTTGATTTTAGGAAGTAGGGATGGTTTTTTAAAGTAAAACAAAAATAGTCATAAGGAGTAATCTGAAACTCCAGGTTGAGCATTGAACTACGTGCTGGTTGACAATTATTAATGAAGTAGTACTTGAGATTCAAGAAGACAATTACAGGCTAACTAACTTGGAATTGTGTTTATTTCAAAGATGTTGTTGACGTATCTTACTGGGTATTTTGTCATAAAAAAAAGAAAGAGAAAAATTCTAAAAGGAAATGTACTATTTGGCATTGATGTTACATCTGATTTAATCATTGTACAGGAGCTGACTTATTCCTAAACTAATGCAATAAACATTAGTTAGAAAACACTACTGATTTTTTCCCCCCCATATATTTGCATAATATTTTTTGTAGAAGTTACTCTTCAGGGCTGCAATTTTTAACAAGTCTCAAGATCTGGCTCAGATTTGGGGTGCAGTGTATCCTTCAGCTGTGTCTATGTCCAATTTGTAAACAGGCAAGTGTGCATCTAGGTAAAATACTGGCAGTAAGCAGTGGTATGAACAGTAGTAACCTCTTGTACATGTGTTAAACATCAGTGAGTTTGACACCTGTCAATTACTTAATTGCCAGGAAATCAGAAATGTTATAGTTAGTTTGCTACATGATTCTAATTCTCTAGAATCCAAGTTCAGTCTTCTAGGCAGCACGTGGTCATGGGTGAGAACTGCAGTAGGCTTACACGTGTATATTAGAACAGTAGAGTTCACAATTATATTTCAGGCACATAGTTCAGTTGTACTAAAGACACCATGTGTCCTTCATGCAGAGAAATTGGTAGGAAAAATTAACTGCTTCATACTGACCTCATGAAATAAACCAATATTGCATTTTTCAGTCTAACATATAGGACATAGACTCTCCAAGTAAGCAAGAAACTTGCAGATTTTTGATGAATATTTCTAGAACATCTTTCTTTAAATGCAAGTACAGGTTTGAAAGCTGCTTTTTTTCCCTAAACCCATGTTCTTTTCTCTCTTCTATCACTTTTATAATGATGCAACTCCATAAACTAGAGAATTTACCACCAAAAAAAACCCCATTGCATACTTTTACTACAACCAGATATAATGAATATTTTGCAAGTTTTCTTATTTTTTGTTTTGTATTATACACACACTTAGGTACATACATACATATTACTCAAAGATCTTCAGTTACTCATCATTCCTTCCTGCTTATGCAGGTCTTCTGGATATGCATCTTGATCTTCATATTTCTTACTTAGACTAAAATGCATGAAAATTAGTTGAAAATTTAAGAGTAACTGTCTTAATACTTATTTAATATAGAGAACATAAAATTTGAACAACCTAAATTGTCATTTGCTGTGACTTGAATACTTGTTTTGAACTTTTGGGAAAACAGTAGCAAAAGTCAATCATTAAAAACAGAAGTTGGCAACCAAGTCCAATTCTTCTATGCTGTTTCCTTAAATATTTAAGTATAAGAGCTGGATCTTTTTTAATTAGCAAATACAAGGTAACTGGAGGTTTTATGTAATAATGTATTTGGACACACAACTTGAACGCCTTTTGAAGAAGTACTGCTGCTAGACAACAGGTTCCCTGATAACTTGTACAAAAATCAGTAACAAAGAGCACTGCGAGTTACATTCAGGCTAAGGGCTTATGTAAGGTCAGAGCAGAAAGAGGGTCACTGGGCAATTTACTTCCCTCACACCTCACAACACAGACTGCTTGCCTTGTGTTTGAACCACAAGGCCTTTCAGGTCAGGGGAGGGTGTTTGTTTTGCACGTATAACTTGTGCATATGTGCATGAAGGTCTGTGTTCTCTCTTACATGGTGACTTGGCTTGGAAGTCATCAGCATGTGTGTTGGATAATCACAGGTGTTAGCAATTTAGCTACCTTTCAAAAAGGTTTTTAGAAAAATGGGATAAAAAAAATCCCTCTGTACACTTACAGTGCACACTGGCTCCTTTGGAATTGACTCTAACTGAATGTAACCAGCAGCTTTTGTTCAAATGCAAATCCTGTGCAACAGTCAACTTGTGGATATTGTAGGAACTTCTAAAGCATCTCTATACTTTGCACTTTGTTTACAGGACCTCTGTCAGTTGAATGGCCTCTTTATGACTGGAAATAAATGCAGTTTTGTATTAATTATTTAAGTATTTTTAAGATTAAGTATTTAAGCGTTTTAGAAAATGCTTTTTGCTTGAATTGCTTGTAAATTTCTCTCAACAGATGGACGACCTCAATGGGAGGTAGAAGGGAAAATAATTAGGGAAAAGTGTCAAGGGGTGAGAAACAATTTTTCTTACTTTAGGAAGCTTTCTGTATTAAAATAAGAAACTAGACATCTTCATTGTTGTTCTGAAATTTAGGCTTCATTTAGTGAAGTAGATTATTGGCTGTTTCAGATAGACAACTGGAGACTTCCAAATTGGCTTAATACTATAAAGTAGATATTAAGATGATGCTTTGAAGCAACTGGAAATATCGTGCTTGTTGTGAATGCAGTGAAAAAAGAAATTGAAAAAAAGAAAACTGAAGATAATTTTGCTAAGATGACAATTTCCAGTGCATTAAAATTTTTCTCAAAAGCTAAATTATACAAGATGCAGTTCTTTGACTGCTAGAAGGGTTTTTTTATGCTCTGGCAGATAAAACATCCTTTAGATGATGTGTCTGTTTAATTAAAAGTATTACTTTCAGGACACTTGTGTTTAAAAGAAGGAAAAAGTCTCCAAATAAAAGTTTGCTTATAGTACTGTTTTACTGTTTAATGCATGTAAACTTGCAGTTTACCAATTTCAAAATATCAGTGCTCTAGTTTTGCAATAAGTGCTTTAGTTTTTTTGTAATTAATAGCAGTTTCATTTGCATTTAAAACTCTTGTTTCATACAGGCAAACATCATACTTGAAGTTCCTCCATACCATAACAAAGCCATTACAGCCGCAGTTCAGGTGCAGTTTTATCTCTGCAATGGCAAGAGGAAAAAAAGCCAGTCTCAACGTTTTACTTACACACCAGGTATTAAATAAAAAATTTAAAAGTTGCATTTTAATTTGTGCTTCAAAGTAGACATTTGAATGTAATTCAAATTTGTACCTGACAGGTAGGTAAGATTAGCTTTAAACTGTTTGTAAAACAACTTACTTAAGCTTGTCTAATTGAAAAGCTGAATTCAGAGCAATAAGCTACAGTGCTATGATTACAGCCAGGTATTTCTTTGTTAATGTGTTTTACAGAACAATTTGCATTCTACTTCTCTTTGAGAATGATGATGAATCTCAGAAGCTGCTCTTTAAGTAACACTAGTGATGACATGGGGAATAGTGAGATCTTAGAAGAACAGGTTTTATGTATTTTTCCCCCCTTCAAATGTCAGAACCCCCCAACACAGGTTTAGATACAAGGAAGACTTAAAAAAAATAATAAAGAAAAAGTCTGCTCCTTTGCCTGCCACTTACATTCTTTTCAGAAATTCATACCTCTTCAGAGTAGTTGGAGTTCACAAGGTCCCAGTGATGGGGCTAAACCCTGTAGTATTGCTTGGAGGATGTGCAGTCGGATATCTGAAGGGGTCTTTCAAGACAGATACAAATATTAATATAAACTTCTTGAAGCTAATGTTTGTGCTGGCAAAGCCAACTTCCATTAGTTTACACAATTTAAAATAGTTTTGCTCACTTGTGCTCTAAAATTACCTACTTACCTTCATGTGTAATTCAAGCAATGTTAGCGAGGTATCTGATACACTAAGTATACATTAATTGTGTTATCAGATTTATGGGGTCTTTTTCAACCATTCTTAAGAATATTGCCTTCTAAGATAGTTACAAGATACATCTTAAAACTATATTTTTGTTTGAGAAATCCATATTTAAATTATTTAAACGATGGAATTAAGTAATGACACTGCTTAAATAAGAAGCAAATTTAATTATAACTGCAGCTATTATTGCACAGACATTTTAAAATCCATTTTATCTATAAATATATATCACAGTTCATTTAACAGTGTATTTTAGAAAGTAGTAATTAGGAGTTTTGTTAGCATTTTTCTGCTATTTGTACTTAAAATCAGTATCTCTTCATGAGCATACCAGTAGCTTAAAAAATAAATGCTGTAAGTGTGTCAGTTTCTAACTGTATTATAAGAACAGTTGCTGCCATCATTGAAATTGGGGGATATGCTGAAAGAGCTGCTGTAATTAAAACAACACACACAACTCGAGCTAGTTTGTAACTAACTGTGTTGCCAAAGTTCAGCAGTCACCTTGCTCAGAGGCTGAGAAAAGTTTGAAGCCTGGTAGCAATATCTGTATATTTATCACAGGGTAAAAATGGGTTGGGTTTATAATGCAGTATTTTACTTTTTGTAGTTATAATGAAGCAAGAGCACAGGGATGAGGTGGATTTATCTGCCATTCCGTCTTTGGCCCTGCATCACACAAGCAATGTCCAGGGCCTGCATTCTATCCAAACTCAATTGCCTTCATCAGAGCAAGGGCATTCTCACAACAATTTACTGTCTACATCACCCAGGAGCCTCTTGTGTCCCGTTCAACCACCATACACAGCCATGGTGACCTCAGCAGTATCCCACCTGCCACATATGCAAGGCAGAAACCTTAGTCCAAGTGAAGAGTGTCATGTTTTGCCTCCTGCTGTGGTTCAGTCTTTTCAGGTAACATCGGCACCCCCTGTGAGGCCTTCTTACCAGCCTATGCAGTCTAATGAAGCATACAATGGACAGTCTGGTCTTCCTATGAACTCTGCCTCCAGCCAAGGATTCAATGCTATTTCATTTCAGCAATACACAGCTGTACCTCATTTGATAAATCTTAGCTGCCAAGCCCGACCACCCATGCAGTTTCATTCTGCAAGCCCAGGTTCTGTGTCAACACCAAGTACAGCAGGACACCTGCTAGCACACCCAGCTCATTCAGGACAGTCATCTTCTCACCTGCCATGGATGGGATATCACTGCCCAAGCACTGGGCAGGGCTCCATCCCATCTGCAATGAGTCAGTCCCTTGGTCAGTCTTCTCCCCAGCTGCAGCAGGTCTCATATAATTCTACAAATTCAGCATCGGCTTCATTCCCATCCCCAACAGCTTCCCACCTTTTGGTCTTCTCACCGCTGTCTGGACATTCTTCATCTCAGCTCCAACCTATGCCTTACCAGTCTCCTAGCTTGTCTCCCCCACCAACCACTGTAAGTCACTCGAGACAGCATTCCTCCCAAGCCCACAGTCCAGTGCTGGGCAGTCTGAATGCAGTGTCATCCCTGGTGCACCAGTCCACATGCATTTCATCTCCATTCTCGCCAGATGGGGCAGGTATTGATATTAAACCAGAACCTGAAGATCAAGAACTAAATTTTCAAACAATAGGACTACAAGACATCACACTAGATGATGGTAAGTGAATATAGTATTTTAATACCAGGATATAATCTACGTTAAGCTACAGAGTGGGTGTGGGAGAGTTGTTTTGTTTTATTTTGTTTAGACCACACTTCTCTTCATAGCAGTAAATTTGTGTTATCAAAATGGAGTTATATTTTTGTGTTCAAAGCAACAAGTTGTTTAAAACTGCTGTAAATTTGTAGTTACACAGTTCAAGTACTTTAGTCTAATTTGTCCATAGACTTTTTTTTTTCTTTTTTTTTTTTTGGGGGGGGATGTTGGGTTGTTTGTGGGTTTTTTTTGTTGTTTCTTTTTTTTTTTCATAAAACAGGATTTGAGGATTAACTCCAACACATTGACACCTTATGTATAGGAATTAATTTGAAGCTTTTTCTGATGTTCTTGTTGGTAGGTTTCAGTGAGAGTCATCGTGATATATCTTAAGTTGCAATAAATGTAGTTTGGAGTTCTGTTTCTTGGAGGGGTCCCAGTTGGAAAGGGCAGGCTCGTTTTTGAAAATATTTCACAGACGTTTTGGCACTGTCTTAGTCTCTTCATGGGCATTTTGTAATTCTGCTGTCATCATTCAGCACCTCTAATCACAATAGCGGTTTGCTTTTTCCTTACCATTTTAGCCTTTTGAGCAATTCACTTGTTTAATACCAACAGAACAAGGACATTCTAGTGCTAAAGGCCAGGCTGTAAAGCTCTCTATTTCAAATACTTAGACAGTGTTCAATTACCAAACATGTCCAACCAAGTGAAAAAAAAAAAAACAAACAACAAACCAAGAGATCAGATCCTAAATGTCAGACTGTTTGAGGCATAGATGCAAAGCAATTTAAAGAGAGTGTCATGTTAATAGGACTGGAAGAACAGAAGGCCTTAAAAGGTGTATAAAAGCTGTTTGGTGTTGATGATGGGAATCTTTTTCACAATAGCTTTAAATGTTGTGTTTTGTTGGGATTTTTTTGTGTCACATTAGAACCTACCTTTTTCTCATCTTTCTTCTCTTCACGCTTTTCACCACATAAGCAGAAGTGTTTGGCATTTATGAGCATCTTGGCAGTTAGTTCGTAGTGGTTCAAAAATTAAAATCAGTGGACAGGAAAATAAAGCATATCCCCCCCCAGCACAAATACTAGTTGCTTTTAGTAACTATTCCCATTGCTTAACACTGTGAAATGACCAAGTTGTTTCTGTGCTGGCAAACACATGGAATCATGGGAAAATCTGCAAGAGACAAATTTAGAGCATGGTTGCTTCCTAATAGATTAGAGAAGTATAACCAATACACGAGTCACATGGCCACAGTTTCATTGGTTTCTTTTTGTAAATAACACTTGCTATGGAAGTTAATAGTTTGATCACCAGCTATTGGACCTTCTTTAAACTTCCTATATGGAAAACTGAACAGGGTTTTAAACACTGAACTTAGCAGCTGGCAGCAGCAATGTGTTTGCAAGTGTAGAGATTACCTTCAGTTGGGTTTCGCAGTACACCCACTCAGTAACTACTTTGGGGATTGGGTTTGGTTGGGTTTCTTCATTTCTAATCTGCAAATAGAAATCAGATGTCTGCCAAAGAAAATATATGGACCCACTTAGAGATCAGTATGATCAGACAAAAGCCATTTATTGCAAAGCCTTAACTTCTTATATACTATTTCTTACATGCATTTACAGTGACTTGGCATATTATGATTGGATACGTATCTTGAAGACCCTTAGTGACTAACACACAATTGGTTAAGCACAGGTGTGAGAACTTGACCTCGAAAGCTTGCCAACAGTCCACAGTTCTCGTAACTCAGTGAATTTCAGCTTCTTCTTACCTTGCTTGCTTAAGCTTCCTCTGACCTCTCATGGCCTTGCTGTATCTTTCAGGATTATTCAGAGTTTATGTACCAATTATCTATTGTCCTGTGAGAACACTGTCTCCACAAATGTCTAATCTGAAACCTGCTATTCCAAAAATCTTGAAGGGCAGAGTGCAAAGAAACAAGCTGCTCAGTTCTCTCAACATGAGTAACTTCTGCTTAATCAGCTTTAAATAAAAACCATGTTTGGGCAGGAACACTTTATTACAATGTCTCTAATGATTACTGTGCTTTTAAAAATAATTTCAAAATTTTTCTTCTGTTTGTAATCAAATTTTAGTGTCTGTACAAATAGAGCTAGACACAAATAGCAAATCAGTTACTCTGCATTAATGGTATAACAATTAAGGAAAAAACCTGAACATAGTTGCATACATTAACGAGTGTTGATACAGTATGTTCTCCCAGCTAATATGTCAAACCTGAAGCTGTATTTTGTTGGAAAGTAGGTTTTTATAGTTTAGCAATTAAGGCAAATAAACCTCTTAAAATACTAAGGCAAAACCCGTTGAGAACTGTATAAATCATGTCCGGATTGCTGTCCTTAAACATTTAAGTCGGTAGTCTTAAAAAAAGAAACAACTGAAAAATAAACCCAAACAAACAAAAAGACAACACACTAAAACCCAAACAACCCTGCCAGCATAAATAATCTTCTTTCTTTTAACAAAATTTGAGTGTAGTATAGAAGTGCTACCTCATGCTAAAATTAGTCCTGGAACTGCAAAGTTCTGTAGGCTTGATGGAGTAGTATTTAAAATTCTTTAAAAAAATACCCCAACACATTCTGGATAGTAGTTACCTAATCCCTTTAAGCAAGACTCCTAAAAGTGAATCTTACTGCTTCTTCTTAGATCATTCAGGCTTTTTTTTCTTCAAAACCCCCACATCCACTGCTTAATACAGAACTACAAAGCTGCTTCATACTTTAGTGCTCAAGGCAAGAGCAACTGGATTAGTCTTGATCTAGCATCTTCCAGAAGGTGTATCACATCTGGATTCACCACTTACAGCTTCTCTGCAGAGCCAGGCACGCTTGCCAGTGACCAGCATGGTGTAACTTTTTGTGTTGCTTTACCCATCATCAGTCAGAGTGAAAAGGAATTACATCATTTAAAGACAGATCCTCTGCCTGGGTGTCTGCACAAAGTACGCATTTTACCTTTTTTCTTTTTTTTTCTCCTCTGATGAAGTTTAGGTGGTTCTTTGTTTTCTTGTTCTTCAACAGGATCTGGTTGATGTCTTTAGGCTTTTCTCATCTCCGCCTTGAATTTGATCTTTCGTTTGGCTTCCCTTCTTTCCATACTTGCTTCCTACAGGAAACACTTCCTAATTCATTTGAAGAAACAAGGGATCAAAATGCATGAGGGCACCTAGATATTAAATTTAAATGATATTAGAAAAAAACATTTAAAATATAACACAATTTTAAAGTAATTTGTACCGTATGCTACTACTTAAAAGGTGTTCTTAAAAACAGTACTTCTTTCTTCTTAGGTCTTTTCAGTAGTAAGTCTGCACAAGCAGGTAAACTTTTGGACTGGATCTAAAACTTAATCTCTTGTGGTTTGCAGTTTAGGAGTAAGTTTACCTTGGATTTCATGACTTTCTACAGTGATGAGATTTCTAACAGGCACAACTGTATTTAACCATTTTTAAGGTGTTATTTTAGGCTTTATTCAGCAAATCAGGATGACCTTCTACTAATCCTCTTACATTTTGTTATTCGTTGTATCTCCATTATATAAAGCTGGTGATCAACAAATCATGTGGATTTACTATAAATCATAACTAGAAATCCTCTAACAGTTTTGTGTACGTGGAGCAATAAGCTGCCTTGTCAGACGCATTCCATGTAGAATTCTAAGCCATTTGTATTCATTCATTTTAGTAGTTCTATGATAACTCTCTAGTTGATGAATTCTCTTGCTGGGAAGTTCAGCGTTTATCCTGATCTTTGCTAGAGAATTTGTGCGTCTTCACAGATAGCTTTTTACTGTAGCTTCAGCTTAACTTGTGGAGCCTCACAAGAGTAACTAGTAAGAAAGCATCGGAGAATGACTGTATCCTGATTTTCTCTATACTTAAAACTTACGCATTAACAAGTCATTCTTAATGAAGGCAGCATCCTGCCAAACAGCATTGAAGGTCTACAGAAGCACAAAAAATATTGAATGCTAAAGTCTAGCTTAGTATGGAGGAGAGCAGCTCAAACATCTGTCTTCTTGTCAGTGCAACTCCAACTTGAGATGTTTGTCTGCAACTCCAGTTTTTGGTTTTAGGTGTCTCATAAGCACAGAACAAAATGTTACATCTTGTAGCATGCCTGGCAGGATTTGTGTGACAAGAACTCTAGCTTATGTTTTACGCAGAACCCTCAGAATATTCCTGTTGATAACAGGCATTTCCAAAATTATACTAGTATAAATTCTTTAGTAAGGTTGTGTTCAAACTCCTCCTTTCTTAGTATTCTGTATATTAAATATATATTGTCAAGCAGTATGGAGATAGCAATAAAAAGCAGTGTGGAATTCTAATTCTCCTCATAAGCATATGACGACAAGTCAGAACCTGAAATGTATTGGAAGAGAATGGGAATTTACTTTTAGAAATGGGTGGGTGTTATGAATGAAACAGAAAGATCCAGACTGAGCAGTAGATTAAAAGGAAAAGGTTGGAACAGTGAGGAAATGTGAAGAGGATGTTATCCATATGGGCTGTCAGCGGTCATGTCTTCTAGTGGGTTCATTCACTGTGTTCATAAAATGTGTGCCAGCAAGGCACCTGGTGAGAAGACCATGTAGAGACTGCTGATGTGTAAAGAACTCAGATAAATCCTCAGTCATCTATGACCTGCTAACGTATTCCTATTCCTTCCTATTGCCCCGAGAGCCACAGAACACCTTGTAACAGATTCAAAGTAAGCTCAACTAGTTGTACCACTGCAAAAAGATTCCCATTTAAGACTTAGAAGAGTAGAAACTTACTCTGTGAATGCAGGTGGCATGTCTACATCATGGTGCAGACATTCACAATAGTAGAGGAACTGGAAGGTGTTAGGCATGCCCTGGTGACACCAGCTAAAGTACACTTAAATGCTTTCACACTATTTTCTGCTGCGCAGCATGTCCTCCAGCTCCAAGGTTCACGCTTTATACTTACTATGTTAGACTTGTTTATTTTCTTGCATGAGAGAAAAGGGTAAATGTATGCCACTGAGATGAGGTGGTTCACTATGATACATAAATTCAGAGTGTGATGACATAACCATGACATGAACAGGGATGTTTGTTACTGAACCAAATAACTGCAGAGCTTGTGCTGTGACTCTGCGGGCACATTCAGTCTGTTTATGTAGCTATAAACATTATATGCACAGGAAAACTATACTCCTCCTAACATTTCAAACAGCCCTTTTTATCTGTTAATGAAATAATTAAAAAAACGTACTTCTTACTAAAGTTGGCATTGAACCTGAAATTACTTGAAGAAACCCTGTCTTATGGCTTGGGATGGTAACTTGCAAGGCACCCCACCACATCCTCGATAGCTTGCCGTTGCAAACAGCCTGCCGTACAACTGGTTTTGATCACCAACAGAATGAGCTGTCTGCTCCACAGCAGAGAGCACCGAGGGTTAATTATAGCCTGGCAGCACCTTTTGGTTGGTTTGTTGTTTTTTTTTTTAGGGAAAGTTGACACTGGTTGCTGGTCATGTGGAGTCAAAACCAGGCTACATATACTGCACTAACCCCTCTGATGTAGCTGCAGGGATTCTTTCCATGAATGCGGCTGATTGATGGAGTTCCACCTGGAGATGACAAAGGCCTGTCCCCAAGGAAGTGTGCACTGCAGTCTAGCCATGATGTTCTTTGAGGTTTACTGATCCTCATTACCTGTAGGTACAGCAATTCACTCACCTGTCCTATAAATTACACAAACTCCTGGGTGGATGCAGCAAATGCTGTGAAACCTAGACAGTTGATATGATCTGCTATTGATGGCTTGGCTTCGCGAGCGAAGATTTGGGAAGGGCTTTAACCACACTTACTACAAGCACCATGACCAAGGGCATGTGGGATATGCAAATCTGGTTGGAAAAAAAAGGTGCTTAGGCAATCGGGAAGTGTCCAACCAGGACTGTCATCTCCTGCACAATCTCGGGCTACCCATGCGCTGGTCCACCTGCATACAAGGTTGGATCTGCAGCTTCCCATGCACCTTGTCACCTACCGTTTCAACCCTCGCCTGTCCATGCAGACAAGTGAGAGTAAGCCCTTCCAGCCTGCGCAATGGATTTTTTAGATGAGGCACAGTTTGCACAGAACTGGCCTCACCCTTTACACCTGAGGTTTAACTGCCTAACTAGCTAGGATGGTGACAGCAAAGTCCACAGGTCATAGGTTTTGTGAGAGTGTCCTTCTCTTTGATGGAAGACTATACAAGGCTAGATGAGCTCCATCAGCCCAGATTTGAAGATGGGAGTTTTCCTTTTCCTATGAGGAAGGCCTGTCTTTGCTAACGAAGATTCAGGAAGGGCTTTAACCCACACATTCTGAACAAGACTGTCATTTCCTGGGTCAATCTCGAGCGACTGATGATGCAACAGCACAGCATCAAGCGTCTAGGTGGGATTCTGACTTAGAGGAGTTCGGTCATAAGCCCGTAGATTGTAGCCTTGTGCCAGTGGCTCCTCAGCCAAGCACATGCACCAGGGGTCTGAACCTGCGGATCTGCTATACAATTATATCAAACGTCTCTTTGCAAAGTATATTAAAATCCCCACTCTGCTTAAACCACAGCACCACTGCAAACAACCATGAATTCTAGAATATTTTTGGGATCCACTTTTCTTAAACCAGTACATCTTCTAGGCCTAGTCTCATTGCCCACACATCCTGCTTCAGTTCAGTAGCAGTAAGGGATAGACAGGCTAAACTTTTAACCAAGTAGTGCTACAAAAATGAAGTTTCTTGACTTCTGTAGGAAGAGATCCTTTGAACCAAAGCTGGTACATATAATTGAGGGTTTAAAGTTTTTCTTAACCTTTCTTTACTTAAGGGAGAAACCAAGACAAAGAGGTGGTTCATAAAAGCATTGATTTTTTTACCAGTTAAATAGATCTACAGGATGTCCATTTGCTTCATTTCTAGTTTAGTGTAATAGTTTTGATTTTAGTGTTATATACTTTGGGTATGAACCGCATTATAGTATTGCTTAAGGAAGTAAAAACCTCTCTCAAATGTTTATGAAATTATGAGGTAGAAAGGTATTTTAATGTACATTTATCCACTACCTTAAGTCCTGCGTGTTGAACAAAATCTTTATGCTATATTGCATGATTTTAAAAGGCTGTTGAATTATTCACCATGTTTCACAAACAACAAATAAATATTAGCTGCCTGAGGCAAGTGAATGCTTAATTCCAGAAGGTGCTGGCTGGAGATGTGCTACACATGGCATGTTTTATCAGGGATTCGTAAGAGCAAAACCTCAGTGCTATCAACAGCTTCATTAGGAGCCCTCTGTGTGCAAAATTAATTAGAAAAACTGCTTCAAATCATATTTCTCTGCTAAAGTGATAGATAATCCTTATCATCTAAGCTATGCGGAGTTTTATGGTGCAGAGGCTGTTGCTTATAAGCGCTAGTTAACTCCACTGTCCTTTCTAGAGGATTTTGGTCAGCGTTTGTTCTCTGCTCCTTTGAAAGCCTGAGATTTAAAGAGGATTACTAGTAAAAGTTAATTTGTTTCATCCCAAGGTAGTTTTCTGCCCATCTTCCTGGATTCATTAGATCTTTATTTAAATGTCACTTTCTTGCTGGTTTTATCATTATTGGTGAGAAAAACATTATTTTCGTACTCTCCTATTATTTGACAATAATTTGTCTTTTATCTACTCCTTTCTTTCAAAATGGCAACGGACATTTTCATTGAAACCCAGATCATACTTTCCACTTCCTCTAACTTTAAGGTTTAAACAAGCATAAGAAGTCATCCAAAGAAGTAATTTGAACTGCTTGAATTTCAGGAGGAAGAATAGACTCTTTCATTCTCCCAGGAGTCACCCCTAAGCAGGGCTTAGAAGTCATGCTGGCAAAGTAAATGTGTGGCTCTATCCAGGAGACACAAATTAGCCAACATTCAGAGTAATTTTGTTAATTGTATTAAAGCTCGATGCACTAAACTTGCAGCTCTCTTTTGGGCAGGGAAAAGCCCCCAAACCCAACCCAGTATACTTTTGCACGCTCTGCACAGTCATGGATCACAACTGAACAAACACACATTTGTTAGTTAAAATAATAAATACACTAGTCTACATTCATTTTTCCTCCAGGAAAAACAGTAGAATCATAGAATAGTTAGGGTTGAAAAGGACTTTAAGATCATCTAGTTCCAACACCCCTGCCATAGGCAGGGACACCTCACACTAAACCATACCACCCAAGGCCTCGTCCAACCTGGCCTTGAACACTGCCAGGGATGGAGCATTCACAACCTCCCTGGGCAACCCATTTCAGTACCTCACCACCCTAACAGGAAAGAATTTCCTCCTTATATCCAATCTAAACTTCACCTGTTTAAGTTTTAACCCGTTACCCCCTGTCCTGTCACTATAGTCCCTAATGAAGAGTCCCTCCCCAGCATCCCTATAGGCTCCCTTCAGATACTGGAAGGCTGCTATGGGGTCTCCATGCAGCCTTCCTGAAGGGAATTCAGTTCTTCACTTCCTCCTTGTTTCTGACTTTTCCTTGGTCTGCCCCAGCCACCTCTACCAAGATCATGCTTAGGTTTCCAACACTTCAGCCTGCATGTGGCCTGACTGATCAGTACCTGGGGCGGAACATGCAGACAGCCTGACAAGTAAAGGGGAAGCTAACACCTGTTTACAGCAGTGGTTTCCTCTGGTGAAAGGCTAGGAAAAATAAAAATAGAGGTGTTATTTACTAGTACTCTTTTGCCTGCCTTGTTCAGTGGAGGTGCTGTCAAATAACATAAGCACTTTTAATTTGACCACAGTAAATAAAGCAGATTGAGAAAATTGTAGGAGGAATGTTCTAAACTAACACACATACTAAAATGAGATATTTGTAGTCTAAAATTCATCATGATACAACTAGGCAGACATCCAAAAATATTAGCTATTACCTTTATGGCTCTGGCTGCTAACTGAAATTAACTAAATATATAAGTGATATTGGTTTTAATAGGCACTCTGATACTTTATAAATACTTGTGTTGACATATGTAGTAGTTGTAAATGAAAATATTTAATGTTAGTGCTATTAAAAGAAAATTGAAAGTCGCTTCCTGGTTGAGTGAACTGTAACATTTTGGTTTAGTCCAGTCAGTAGTTATGTCTGTCTTCTTCTCTGACACAGACAGTTTTATCTCTGACCTGGAATACCAGCCATCAGGTTCAACAGAGAAATGGACTCAACATTCAGCACTCATGTCTAACTCCTATGTGGAAAATCTAGACGGTGAGTCTACTTACTGAAATGTTTGAAATCGGAGCATGAAGGAAAGGAGAAAGTGTTTTATTAGTCTTAACATCTACAAGTGAACAGTGCTATGTAATCACAGAATCACGGAATCCCAAGGGTTGGAAGGGACCTCAGAAGATCATCTAGTCCAACCCCCCTGCAAGAGCAGGGTAACCTAAAATACATCACACAGGAACTTGTCCAGGCGGGCCTTGAATGTCTCCAATGTAGGAGACTCCACAAACCCCTGGGCAACCTGTTCCAGTGCTCTGTCAAAAAAAAAAACAACGTTCCTTCCACAATAAAAAATACTTAAGTATTGCTATAATCGCACATCTGTGTACTCTGAAATAGTTGGAAATTCAGAAGCTGTGAACCAGGTGTTCACTTATTCAGTAAAAATCCCCACTGAAAGCATATGTAGCTGCCACAGAACTTCCTCAGTGCTGTAGGATCTAGTTCAGCAACAGGATATGAAAAATCTGAAGTCAGATATGGGCAAGGCTATAGAGTGGGCAGATCAGTTAACTGTGACAAATATAGAATGCTTCCCCTTTTTCAAAAAGAGGAAGCAATGTTAATTTAAATAGATGGAATGCAGTGGCATACACTGTCAATCCAGATATTTGGGATACAGTCATAAAATAGATTTCTAGTTGAATGTGCACTTCTTAATGGGGAAGAATTGTCTGGATTTATTTTAAGATGCTTTCAGCTTCTTCATGTCACATATAAAGGAGATAATTTTGCACTGTGACTTTTAAATAATGATATTAGAAATTGATGCATGGTATATTGTTCGTGTTTGTGTTTATACTTATTCTTAAGTGTTTTTCACTTAATTATAAACATGCCTAAAATGCTAAATAATACCCACCCTTTTGTTCCCCCTATATATATATAAGCACATATAACACATTTCACTTTCCCCGTAGATTTTTAAAGGGGGATACCTGTAAGTTTACAGTTGATTTGGAATTGTTACCAGGAAAGTGATCAAGCTCTGTGTATAGCCTTAAAACTCTCACACAGTGAGTGTGTAGACTGATATTAAGTTTGCCCATAAACCTAAAATAAATTACAATGCTTTACCAACTTTCAGAAAACTGACCTAGTTCTGCTTTCCTTACATATCAAAATATTACTAGTAAAGCAAGTAGCTACTATTCATAATGCCCTTCCAGGTAACTCCCCCCAGTTTATATACTGAGCATAATACCCCTTTGCCTAGTTTGGGTCAGGTGTCCTGTCTCTGCTTCCTCCCGGCTTCCCCTCCTCCCTGGCAGAGCATGAGACTCAGAAAGTCCTTGGTCGGAGTAAACATTACTTAGCAACAACTAAAAACATTGGTGTTATCAGCATTGTTCCCAGGCTGAAAGCCAAAAACACAGCACTGCACCAGCTACTAAGAAGGAGAAAAATGACTGCTATTGCTGAACCCAGGAAACAAAACGAGTTAACATTTCTACATCTTGAAACAGCAAATCAATTAATAAGATAGCAGTTATGTCTTAGTTTATTTTATCTTTCTTGACTATGTATGTCCTGTGAAACTTATTCTGATACTACAGAGTAACTGTTGAAGAGCAACCCCCCAAATACCATTGCCCTCAAGTGTGGACACATGGGAATGTTAGTAGAATGGTTCTGTACACTGAAGAATGTTTAGCATCAGACAAGCTGACTGTATCAACCAGTATTATGGAATGCTTACAGATTCAGATTTCAGGTTTAAATTAGGAAGAGAATAGGTTTTAAATTACACTGATGAACAGGAGAGCAGCTGTAGCAATCATGTGGGAGGATATCAACCAATCTGCAAATATAGGAAATACACTAATGGAATACTTGAGTCATGCTTTTTAGAATGGGTGTGATGACTGCTTCATGGAGCACTAAATCATAAGAACCCACAAGGGGAAACAACTCTTTATTTGGTCCAAAGGAGCATACAGAAACTTCCTAAGAAAGAAAATTTAAATACTTTAATTTGTTTAGTAGCAGTTTCAGCATTACAGGCTATGATGAATTTCAGAAGAGGAATTACAGAAAAACTTACTTAAGAAAACACAGGTGGTCAAAAGGATATACTTGTGAGAAGTATGAGAACTATTTATGAGGGTTCAGATTAAGCGTACAACTACTCTGCAGTGAGAGAGACTACAAACTGCTTCCGAATGCAGAGGACAGAAGAGAGCATGAAAATTACAAGGTTAAATGTGTTGGGTTAACCTGGCCCACAGATGATAAATCAGGAATTCAGTTAAAATTAGATAAATGAACTTAGAAAGGCTTCTTTACTGATGTTCAAATTTGTGTTGAGGAATTCCTGTCTTGCATCCTGACAAGAAGGAAGTGCGGCAGGAGGGTCAGGAGACCTCCATGGATGGATAAGGAGCTGCTGAAGAAACTTAGAGGGGAGAAAAAGAATGTTATAAAAGGTGGAAGAAAGAACAGGTGGACTGGGAAGAATACAGGGATGTTGTCTGGGAAGCTGGGAACCAGGTCAGGAAAGCTAAGGCCCAGTTAGAATTAAATCTGGCAAGGGATGTAAAAGATTACAGGAAGGGCTTCTATAGGTAAGTAGCAAATAAAAGACAGAATACGGGCAAAGTAGGCCCCCTCTGGAAGCTATCGGGAGAACTGGCTACCCTGAATTTGGAGAAGGCTGAGGTTCTTAATGACTTCTTTGCCTTGGTCATCACTGGCAAATGCTCTGACCACACCATCCAAGTCTTGGGAGGCAGATGTAGTGACTGTGAGAATGAAGACCCTAGGCCCACTGTAGGAGAGGATCTGGTTCAAGACCATCTTAAGAACCTGAACATACACAAGTCCATGGGAGTTGATGAAATGCATCCGTGGGTCCTGAAGGAGCTGGCAAATGAAGTTGCTAAGCCACTCTCCATCATATTTGAAAAATCATGGCAGTCAGGTGAAGTTAGTGATGACTGGAAAAAGGGAAACATAACCCCCATTTTCAGAAAGGGGAAAATGGATGACCCAGGGAACTACAAACCAGTCAGTCTTATCTCTGTGCCTGGCAAAATCATGCAGGAGATTCTCCTGGAAGGTATGCTAAGGCACATGAAAAACAAGGTGGTTGGTGACAGCCAGCATGGCTTCACTAAGGGGAAATCCTGCCTGACCAATTTGGTGGCCTTCTATGATGGGGCTATGGAAATGACGGACGGGGCAGAGCAGTTGAATTCATCTACCTGGACTTGTGCAAAGCGTTTGACACTGTCCCACACGATGTTCTTGTCTCTAAATTGGAGAGATGTCAATTTGATAGATGGGCCACTTGGTGGATAAAGAACTGGCTGAATGGCCGCACATGAAGAGTTGTGGTCAATGGCTCAGTGTCCAGCTAGAGACTGGTAATGAGTGATGTCCCTCAGGGATCAGTGTTGGGAGTGGTCTTGTTCAGCATCTTTATCGCTGACATGGACAGTGGGATTGAGTGCGCCCTCAGGAAGTTTGCCAATGTCACCAAGCTCTGTGGTTCAATTGATACGCTGGAAGGAAGGAATGCCATCCAGAGGGACCTTGATGTGCTTCTGATGTGGGCAGATGCCAGCCTTATGAAGCTTAACCAAGTCCAAGGTCCTACACCTGGGTCGGAGCAATCCCAGGTACAGATGCAGGTTGGTCAAAGAAGAGATTCAGAGCATCCCTGCGGAGAAGGACTTGGGGGTGCTGGTTCCTGAGAAACTGAACATGAGCCAGCTTCAGTGTGCACTCGCAGCCCAGAATGCCAACCATATCCTAGGCTGCATCAAGTGGAGCATGACCAGCAGGTTAAAGGAGGTGATCCTGCCCCTCTGCTCTTGTGAGACCTCACTTAGAGACTTGTGTACAGTTCTGGTGTCCTCAACATATAAAGGACATGGAACTGTTGGAACAAGTCCAGAGGAGAGCCATGAGGATGATAAGGGGACTGGAGCACCTCCCGTATGAATATAGTCTGTTCAACCTGGAGTAGAGAATGCTGCCTGCAGTCTCCTTAGCAGCCTTCTAGTATCTTAAGGGGGCCTATAGGGATGCTGGGGTTGGACTCTTCATTAGGGACTGTAGTGGTAGGACAGGCAGTAATGGGTTCAAACTTAAACAGGGGAAGTTTAGACTGGATATAAGTAAGAAGTTCTTTCCTGTTAGGGTGGTGAGGCACTGGAGTGGGTTGCCCAGGGAAATTGTGAATGCTCCATCCCTGGTGGTTTTCAGGCCAGGTTGGACAGAGCCTTGGATGAGATTGTTTAGTGTGAGGTGTCCCTGCCCATGGTAAGGAGGTTGGAACTAGATGGTCTTAAGGTCCTTTCCAACCATAACTATTCTATGATTCTCTGATTAATCCACCACTTCCCTGGGGAGATTATTCCAGGTGCTGTTTGTTCTCAGTGTGAAAAATTTTCCTCGTGTCCTGTTGGAATTTCTTCAGTATTAACGAACTTCTGCCCATCACCCCTTGTCTTCAGTGTGTGACTTCTTGTTAAAAGGGAGTCTCCATTTGCTTTGTAGCCACCCTTTAAGTGTCAGTAAAACAGTTTCAGAACAAGCAGATCAACAGTGACCATTCCCCTCAGATAGATGACATGCCAGACAGCAGCTCTGAAAGAGTAAGCAACAGTTGAACTGAAATATATAATCTCTTGCTTAAATCTTAGTTGGGGCCAGGGTACTGGGAGTTGGTAAATGTGTGACACTCCTGCTGCTCAGCAATTGAAAGTAGTGAAATAATCCCAATCTGTCTAGAAATCTGTACAGGAAGACCTTGTGATTAAAAAAAATCATTTAGTTAAAGGACCGGAAATTAGTGTAAGTGAAGGACAAAACCCTGCCCTAATTCCATACATACATGGCTAAGCTCTTTGAACTTTTCTCATTTAAAGCTGTCTTAAATTTAAAATGCACAATTCCATGAAAGCTTGCTCCATAGTGTTAAAAACAGTCTTACAAGGGTGAATAAATTATAAGAAT